ATATATATATATATATATGTATATATATATAGTGCCGTGTACGTCGCTTTGTTGGTTGGTATTCACGGTATAAGACCCCTTGAATCGAGAGTTTGAATCCCTTTAGCACAGTTGGCGTTAAGGTGTTACTCGAATTGTTAGGCTCATTAGGGGCGGCCCGGGGCCCCTTCAAAAAGCCCTTGGTTCTTTTATATATATATATATATATATATATATATGTATGTATGTATGATCGTATATACATACACATATGTATGTTTACATGGATATATATGTATATATCCATAAATATTTATACATCCATATATACATTTATATTCATATATCCATATTCATGCATGCATGCATGCAGACAATCATTCATTTGATTTAGTTACCTTTTTTAGATTTTAGGGTTATGGTATTTTGAGGATTTTGTTGAAGTCTCATAAGCATAATATTGATTTGTATGACATACGAAACACTTTTTTTTCTAGTCTTTAAATCGTTTAAATTATTTTGAACGTTCATTTATAGTTTCCTAAAAAAATGCATGTTAATTCAGTGTCTTTTACTGTATAATTCTTTAGGCTCATGATGTGTCCTAGAGTTGATAACCAAGCAAGCTGACAATCCTTTAAACATACTGTTCAAAGTAGCAAAATGGAGCAAGGAATGAATTCTTATGGTGCAACCATTTAGTATAATGTGGATGCTTCACCAGTGTTTTCCACAACATATACGTGCCATATCATTTCTTATTTTCTTTAATCAACGCCAACTTTGCTCCATTGAAGATCCTTTACAGATTTTTTAGCACACTATAAGCTATCAAAACTATTGCAAATCCATCTTAGACGTTTTAACTTTATCTGTAACCAGCCCCAATTGGATGGGATGAGTTTAATGATGTTAATGATGAAGCATTCTTCTGTTTTTGACTTAATTTATGGTGACTTCTTCTGCAATATTTCAGGTTTACATGGTGGAATTATATCAGGATACTCTTGTTGATCTCTTGTTATCAAAGAATGCCAAACATGTAAAATTAGAAATAAAAAAGGACTTGAAGGTAATATCAATGTTGCACTTTTTAGATGTTTCAATTTCTCAACTATTACTCATGATTCACGTAAAAGATGAATAGGTTTTCTTATTAAACATGATTAAAATTAACTCTTACATTTTTTTTTTGGATCTTGAGAAATTTTATGGATAAGGCCGCATGCATTCCTCTACTTTTTGATGCTTGTGCTATATTTATTCAACATTAATAATGTAGTTATTGGTCAATGCTCGATAAAAATCAGTTGATTATGATCTTCCATAGCTCCACCCAACTTATGCATTTGGCTTATTAGTTGTTTGGCTTGTTTTCCCTTTGTATTTTCATTCCTTGATGCTTGGTTGTCATCCCATCATATTTTCAATTGTTATCTTTTATTAGTAGCTTGCAGTTATGAAATTAGAATTTAAAGAGAGGGGAGATGAACTTAAAAAATTATCTGAAATAAATCAAAATTTTAATTTCATTTTAAAATAAATAAAATATAAATAAGATAAAATAAAAATATAGCTAAAAATAACTTGTAAAATAAAAAATATGTATCTTTTAATATAGTCATCATGAATACAAAGCTTAAATTATGTCTATTACTTCATTGCATCAAAATTATTAATATTTTGTTCAATATTATGACTTAACTGCAATATCATTTTCAATATATGTTATCAGTAAAATTTTAAGAAAGCTATCTTTTATTTAATTCTATAATGATGTCTCAGCAATCTTCATAAAAGAAAAATACATGTTTAGTTATTGTTGTCAAAATGAAGTGTCAATATTAATTTAATCAAATGATCAATAAGATGATATATATTGATTTTTTGTCTTAACTAACATTTGACATAAAATATATATATAGAGAGAGAGATTCTATTTTTTCTTATGAGTTTCAATTAAAAATATTCTAGTTGAATTTTTAAAGGTAACTTTTTATATTTGAAAACTTTTTATGTTAAAATTTATTTATATATTAAAAAATATTCTCAAATTTGAACAGGTGGTATCCATCTCGAAGATCAAATGCATTTTTTAAAATCAATAACTCTAGAATGTGTTCTTTAAATCTGTTATTCATATATTGTGGTTATATATCCAATGTAGCTGTGATAATATAAATTTTTTATTGATGCTCAACAATATTAGTGTTTTTTTTTGTAACATGTCATCAACCTCAAGAATAGAAGCATTCATATATGATATATATATATATATATATATATATGAGGTGTCTATATATATATATATATCATTTTAACAAAATAATTTCACCCTCTAGAATATTGAATATGATTCTATTTCTCTTTAATTTTAAAGAAGATATTTTGTTGTGCTACTAAATGCACCACATTAAAAACATCCTGTGAGTTTCTTTATAATTCAGGAAGAATAAAACAAATTAATTATAAGATCAAATATGCAAAGTACTATTAAACTAGAATAATATATTTCGGTAATGTACTGATAAAGAATATATATGAAAAAAGATAATATTTGATGAACCAAACTTTCAATCTATTCAATTCATATCACATCTTACATCATTATATCCTTGACCCCAAATGTCGTAAATACCAAGATAATAATAAGAGAGTATCGCAAAGTTCTTTATTCAAATTTGATGCACTTATGTCTTCAATATAAATTATATAAAAGAATGGTTGCTTAATAAATTTATCTTTATCAATAAATCTTAATCGATTATCATTTATTCTCTTGTCGATTCATCTCAAGCTTCATCAATTTTAATACATTATTTTGTATTACAAATTGCATCTCCTATAAATTTTTAAATTTTGTTTGAGATTAATGACTTTTTTTTATTTAATAGATATATTTATTATATTTTTTGAAACACTATTAAATTCAATGAGATAATTAAAATTTTTATGATAGATTGTTTAAGTAATTATTAAATATTTATTAAAATAAAAATATAAAAACTATTAAATTTTTATTAAACATTTAAGTTCAAAATTTTAGTAAAATAAAAATTTAGATCCCCACTAATAGTTTGTATCTTGTGAAGTTTTGAATCGAGCATTTACTTGTTAAATTTACTTAACTCTTCAAAGTTGGTTTATTTAATTTTTCTTGATCATTGTAGCTCTTCTCCTTTTCATGTTATTTTAACTTTAGACTTAACATTTGCTTTTATCAAAATTAGCATTTTTTCAGAGCTTGAGATTGTGCAAATATGCAATAAGCAAACTGATGCGGTAGGCTCTCAATTTGAAGCTTATTTTTTATTTTATTGGTCAAAATTTGCATCTGGAATCAACTATTTTGAGATAATGCGAGTATGCAATAAACAGACTGCTGCAAGGGTAGCTGCCTTTTCTATCTGTTGCAACTGTGTACGCTCTGTTTTATAGGGAAAGTACGGGATTTCCTAATTATAGTTATTAGTATCTAATGGAAAGTCAAGTTTTTTTTTCTGATATATTTTCTGTTATATTTTGATTTTTAATTATTGTTGTCAATTGCTATTTTTGATTAATAGCTTGTCCTATAGAATTTTGATTATTTGCTATATTATCTTCTGCACTGCATTAGATCTAGATTGAAAACCCTTTGACTAAGACAACTTTAAATCACACATCTAAATCGTTTCATTTGTTCTTGCAAATCAATATTTTAGTCTATATCCCCTTGATTTTCCTCTAATAAAAATCTTATCTTTTGGCTTTTTTGTTGAAATTTGATCGATTTCATATTCTTCATTTGTTAGAAGTGCTCAAGAATACCATTATTCAGTGGATGCACAGTTTTTTACTTTATTTATTTTTATTTTTTCATAGTAATTATTTTCTTAATATAATCATGCCTTTAAAGGTTGTAAAATGTTGCTATTGTCGTTGAATTCTTTTTAGTTCTATACTTATTTATTTTTTAATACAGGGTATGGTTTCTATAGAAAACGTATCAATTCTACAAGTGTCTAGCTTTGAAGAATTGATGGCCGTCATTCTACGGGGGTCTGAGCAACGACATGTGTCTGGAACCCAAATGAATGATGAAAGTTCAAGATCACATTTGATATTATCCATCATAATTGAAAGTACCAATCGACAAACTCAAACTATTGCAAGAGGAAAGGTAAGTCTGCAGTTACTGCAAAAGAAAACTGCTTTTTCGTGCCTATCATTCTTATGAAGTAAATATCTATATTAATTATTCAATGAAGCTATTTAATCATGTCGTACTGTTGTGCATTGTGGGAGCCTAAGTTTCAGTATTTCTGGTAGTTTCAAGGGTCTCCATATTTAGATTTGGTACCATGTTTGATTTTGATATTGACTTTCTATTGTTAGAAATAAAATTATTATAAGATATCTCATTTATGATTTAATTCATGAAATATTTTTAAAAATTAGAAAGATATTTAAGTATAAGACATTGATTATGAAAGTTCAGTTATATATTGTCCTATAAATATACAAATTTTTTATAATATGCTTGTATAGAAATGTTTATGATATATTAAAAAATGATCGTTTTTTAAAAGATGTAAAATGTATAAATCAATCATAACATACCTTTATATTTCGTTGTATTTTTGTATGTATTATTGCTTGTTAAAACCAAAGACATTTAATCAAGTTTCCATCTTCGGTTTGTTTAGGATCAAAGTGATGTTTAGATTGGTATTAATTTTATAGGATTTAAACTTATGAATCTCTTAATGATCGTATGTGAGAGTAATGGATTATAGACTTAGAAAACTTCCTTCAATATTTAAGAGTCAAGTTTTTCCATGCTGGGAAGATTTACCGTTGAGGTGTCTGTGTTAAGACAATGAAAAAAATAGCAAGGAATTTATTTTCACATTGTTTTAATTAATCTTGAGAATTCAAAATAGTTTGATGCACATTATTGAAAAATGTGTGAAAGTTAATGGTATATTTAATAAAGTATTAACTAATTAATAATAGCCCATTAGTTTTCAATTATAATAAAGATTACAACAAGGATGATTAGAAAGTGAAGTACCTTGATGCACTGTTTTTTCAGTAGGTATAATTTTATTTTACGAGGCATCTTTTGAAATAAATAAATACAAAAATAATGAAAAATTTTTTAAGATAAATGAGTTAGGATTAGAACAATAAAATAATAGTAGTAAAAGTGTTATGTGCTGTCATGATGATTTAGATAGCTAATGCTTAAGGCATTTGACACCCATCCTAGTTTCTTGCTTGAGCGAAAAGTTTTGGTGAAAAAGAAATTGTTATATCATTTATAAACTATTATAGTAAATAATTTTTAATAGTATGAAATGATAATCATCACGTTTATTTAAGAAGAGTAAAGCTATTAAGTTTCAAGTCCTATTGCATTATAAATCTAAAATGCTTCGTAAATAGATTTATCTTAAACAAATATATTAATCTACTTAAGTTACTTAAATGTATTGCTTAGGGATAACTATAAGTTGTAAACCAATGGTGGTCCAAAGTTAGTTCAAATATATTTGTGTTCAAACCTATTTTTAAATTAAATGCTTAATCCTATTAGTGAGGGACATCCACTTTGTATTTTTAACTATTAAATTTAGGGCTATCAATCATTAAGTAGAAGATTTTGAACATAAACTTATCAAACTATCATGCAGCAAGAGTTTATTTAACTTGTTGGTGGCAATGTGTGAGTTGCTTGATCTTAAATATTGCTCAATCATGTTGCATAATGACAAAGCTCTAGGGATTTATTAATAATATGAACAACTTGATAATAGGATAATAGAATGTTTAAATTTGTACAATTGGGTATTGAAATGCCTTTTGTTTACGTGGCGAGACATAAGCCTCGAGGCGTTTTGAACTTGAGCCTTAAAATCAACAAATTGTGCAAAGAAAGAAATATTGTAATAAATTCAAAGTATGTAATAAGATGTAATATAGTAACATCCTAACCTATTAATATATTAAAATATAATATATTAACATCCTAATATAATGAAAGTCATAAATTTTTTAAACAAGTAACATGTTAACATCCAAATATTAAATAATAAAATAGGAATATTTATACAATCATCAAAATATTACATTAAATATAAAAATTTAAAATAAGTTGAATAAAAATAATCTCTCTCCTGCTCATGTTCTTCATTAATAAAACAAGTCATTAAGGTAAGAACTTTTATATTCAGAAGTTCTCATCACTCTTTTCATTTAATAAACCTTTATTGAGATCATTGGCATAACAATTTATTTATTTATTTTTTTCATCTTATGCTCAATTACATTCATGTTCTTTCATTCCTTTTACTCATCTTAAATATCAATCGTATTCCTCTTATTTTGGATAATGATTATTTTGATAGTAACAACTTCAATTGCATCCTCAACTATATATTATATGGATAAAGCATGAATGTTCTTAGCATTATCTTACTAATATTTATTTTAAGAAAAATCCTAGATAAAATCCTAGAATTAATTGCACATACCACATTAGAATTGAGGTGGGATGCATTTTGAGACGGGTCTCATATTATGTGAGGCATAAACCTCATGTAGTATCCAATGAAGCATAAGCTTCATGGCGAAGTTTTCAAAAGAACATTGAGGTGGGCGTCAAGGTGAGCCTCATATTGCACAATTTTAAATCATGCGTGAACCATTGACTTTAGTTGCACTTGTCAGGGAGTGAATTAAAAAGTGAATAAAGTTTGCCCAAATACATCAGTGATCAAAAACCTTTTTCAACTCAAAAATTTAAACCTGTGTGAAAAAAGTCTTTTTTTTCTCAAGTATTTAATATAAAATTAAACCCAATACACTTTCATGTGCTTTAATATGATCCAATCCTTACTACTATCTATTTTATTTTCATCATCATTCAATGTCTCTTTTTTAGCTTTGGATTTTCATCTTTACTACCACAAAAGTTAAAATTCTTATTTGTCTAACTTATTTTCAAGTGCACGTCGTTTTTTTTAATACTCGATCCCATCACCTTATGCCAAATATGATCATGAAAAACTAACTCATTATTTGCACTTGAACTATTCTCACCCATCTCTTCAAATCATGAAAAGACGCTCTCCTACTAGCCTAACACTAGACTGACATCCTATTGCAAGGCACTCATCTTTCTATGCCTTAATAATGGTGACCACAAATGTGCATGAGATTCTATAACGTTGTCTTGTCCTATCCAAGTGTTTAGACAAGTACCTAATTATCCATTAATTTCAATGAACAAAGTTTGATCATATGATTTGCAATTTTAGTGATTGTGATATTAAATATTATCATTTATGTTTACTAGAAGATAAATTGAAATATATATGAAATAATTTCAAGTATATTGTATCAAATATATAAAAAAAAGAGGTATAAATTGCTATGGTTAAATCTAGGTGATTAAAATGCAAAAGTAGAGCTCTATGAAATGAAAGAATTTCATGGACATTTATATGGCAAATGTTTTTTAATTGCAATTAGACCAACTATGTTGTACAAATCTGAGCGTTGGGTGATAAATAATTACTAGCCAAAAGCTGAGAATGACAAGGATGGAATGCTAAGATGGTTGTTGAGAAAATTGGAGTAATTGATTGGGAAATTATCACATTAGAGAAACAATAGAAGTTGAGAAGACTTGGTTCTTTGAATATGTATAATTAAGGATAAAAAAAAAGCACTTAGTGGATGTGTGTAAAATCACTGTTGAAGGATTATTAAGTGTTTTAAAAGATTTGTATAAAATAGTTTTAACTTCTCATGTTGAGGCTTAACATCAATGAGTTGAGATAAAGTAATGATTAATCTGATCCCAAATTGCTGATTCAAATGAATTGAGATGAATTATTCTGTAATTAAGCTCTAATTTTTGTACATTGAATGCATTGTTGTTTGATTCTCCTCATTTTAGTAAATACATAGTTTTCTAAAGTCAAAAGTTCACGAAGTCATCCTCATCAGTGAAAATACTAGCTCTATTTTCATCTCATCGATTGGGTTTTGCTGTATTTTCTTCACAAATGGTATTGAATCTTGCTTGTTTTCTCAAATTTGCAGCTTAGTTTTGTTGACCTTGCTGGTTCAGAAAGGATAAAAAAGTCTGGATCCTCTGGAAATCAGCTGAAAGAAGCCCAGAGTATTAATAAATCTCTTTCTGCTCTAGGAGATGTGATAAGTGCCTTGTGCTCTGAGGGTCAACACATCCCTTACAGGAACCATAAGTTGACAATGCTCATGAGCGATTCTCTAGGAGGTAATGCAAAGACGCTTATGTTTGTCAATGTGTCTCCCGCGGAGGCAAATTTGGAAGAAACATATAACTCCCTTACGTAAGTTCTTCTATGATCTGAATTTGTTTTCATTTTCTTGATGCTTCTATCCATTCATCAAGTTTTTTGTTATATAGTTATAATTCTAATGAAGCTCTTTGGTAAGTCAAACTTAATTTGGATAAGGCTAATTGAATAAGATGATCAGCGGAATGATTGCTCATGATTGAGAATGATGCCTTGTTCTTGTTCTTCATTAAAACTGATATGATTGTGGTGAATGCTTGTTTTCTAGTATTTGCAAGGAATAAAAAGCCGTATATTTTCTCTCCACAGTATTCCATTTTTTTCATTTGTTTGAAAATTTACATTCGTAGTACAAATTTTTATGTATTTACATATCTCAAACCTAGACTTTCATATTTATCTGCTTAGTAATATCTATGCATGAACAAAAGTGATAATAGTGCTATTTTTTATGTGATATGAAAGATTTAAGAGCTGCATAAATATTAAAATTCAGGTGGGAAATATGAAAATACATTAGAATCATGTGTGCTATGGATGTAAGTGCTCTTCCCTCCCTCTTTACATTATTTATGTTTTTTGCCCAATCATCTTCTTATGGTTTGTGCTCAACTTGGCAGGTACGCATCGAGGGTAAGGTGTGTCGTAAATGATCCAAGCAAGAATGTGTCGTCGAAGGAGATTGCTCGGTTGAAGAAGCTAGTTTCCTATTGGAAGGAGCAAGCGGGCAAGCGAGGAGATGATGAATTGGAAGAGATACAGGAAGAAAGACAGCCGAGGGAGAGAAAAGATATTATAGTAGAAGAAAGGCATGCTAGGGAGAGGAATGATCGACGCAGTTCTACTTAAATGGCTCGTGGTAACACTTCATTTTGATATGAATTTACGAACAAAAAAAATTAGAGAACAGAAAATGGTTGCAGATCTTCTCTGCAGTTTTCATGAAGACAATAGAGATGGCGGTCGATTTATTTTAGTCATATACCGTGTTGTGATTTGAATTGAACATTTTAAAAATAGAATGTTGTTGAAGAATAGTTTATAAATAAATAAAAGAAAAAATTACAATTCCAGATGAAGTGGATTGAATGGTTGGGATAAGTTAGCTCTATCTATTGGTTGTCTTTTGTAACGGTAAAGAATTGGCACATCTTATGCTGGAAAACTGGAAAGTTGTCTGTGATTTACTCGGCTTATTTGTAGAGCTTGTATTCCAATCAATAGCCGATGGTCAATAGTTATTTTAAATAGATTATATTCTGAACAGAAATCTACTTGCTTTGTGTCAGCAATAACGATTATCTATATTAAAAGAGAATATGAAGATTTACAAATAATTTGTGTTTATAGTTATAAACATATTGTAAATTTTTATTGTATTCAATCAAAAGATGGAAGCTTAAAAGTTCATTAGTAGCAAAACATGTTCTTATTTTTGTAGAATTGTAGCCTTCATCTATCCCTATAGAAAATAATAGCCATTTACACAAATAAATTTATAATTATAAAGTAAAAATTTTTTGTGAATAGTTTCAATATTAATATACCTTGAAGATAGGAACAAAATAGATTTATGGCGGTTCAGTATATGCATTCTTGTAATTCCTTCCTTTAATGTGTTCCTTGGAATTAAAATTATATCTATACAATATGTGAATATCTAGAAAAGGCATATAAAATGTGTTTAAATTAATTTTAAAATTTATAAAGCATTGTCCTCATTACCAAGAAATGTGTGAGTGAACCTCATGAGTAAATGAAAGTGGCCACTTTAAAAGTGATCACGAGCTGAGTGAGAAGGCAAGTCTATTGTCGAGCAAGTTGCCATCGACCCAAAAGAAATTGAGGTAAAGCTAATATCAATATTATTCCTAGATAACTTGCCTTCTTAAAGTTTTATGAAATAAAAGCCAGATTATTAATCCTTCAATATCTTTTAAGAAGTTGTGTATACCTTGATGCAATAGAGTAGATGTCAAGTTAGGTGAAATTCATCAAATGATTCCTCACAAATAAAATACGAGATGATTTTGCTAAGTAAGAAGTGCACCATGTTACAAAGAAAGTTACATATGTAGCAAATGTTCCCCATTAATTTTAACATTAGAGGCTTATACTATGCATTCTAATTTTGGTTTAAGCATAAGTTTGATGCCATTGTACATTTGTTAGGAGCTCATAATCAGTGAAGCCAAGCAAATCACCATCTCTTTTTAATTAGTAGATTGATTGATTAGACACCTAACCAGCATCATAGAGGTTGTTTTTGTTAAGATTTAAAATTTTATACTCTATTGGATTTTATCATTCTGGATATGAAAGTTTGAAATCAAGAGATACCAATCATTATTGCTTGTCCTTTATTAGCAATAAGAAAGCTCTAGTATGGATATGAAAAGGTATACTTATTTTATTAGTTTAAGAAAAGGCCACTTTTAATGTTTTTCTAGCCTATGCATAAATGAAGTTGATTGTAGCTTAAGAATGGATGTCTTTGATGCTTGTGTCAAGGAGGACAAAGATTTGAGTTATTCAAGTGAAACTCTTAGTATGTGCATTATAGGAGTTGCGTACTTTGATGGATGTGAGCTTGTGCAGCATATGTGAAGCTCAAAGGAAGGGGTACTTCTATTCACAAAAAAGCTAATCTCGGGCAAGGAGGTTCAACCCCAATCCCTTTGATTGACAATTCATTGTTATTGAAGTTAAAGTTATTGCTTGATCTATTAACATTTTCCATCTCATGAAAATTTGATTACGATAAAAAGACTACCAAACCACGATTGTGTATTGCTATCATTATAGGCAGCAATACATCCATTTGTATGCATAAGATTCAACTGGATGAAGATTTAAAGTATTCAATTAAGCACTAAAGAAGATTGAACTCAAATTTAGAGGTGTTCAAGGCTAAATTCTTAAATCTAATTGATGTTGAGATTTTCTATCCCATTTCTAGTTACTCTTAAATAAGCTCAATGCATGTGGTGTTGATAATTTGAGGAATCATAGTTCTAATAAATGAAAATAATGAACTTACTCAAACCAATGCTAACACAAAATGATAGTTTTGTATATATTATAAAAATGTAAAAAAGCAACACAGACAAACCAATTCTATTGATTAGATATTAGATAAATTGATGAGCAACTCTAATTATTATTTTTTGAATGGTTCAATAGGTCATAATCAATTTTAATTATTCATGTAGAGTAATCGAAGAATATATTAACTTGCCCTAATGGCATGTTTATATTTAAAAGAATGATCTTTGAACTATATAAACCTAGATCCAAATTCAATGGTTTTATGATATTGATCTTCTCTAATATGTTTGAGAACTTTATGAAGTACTTCATTGATGGTTTTTTGACATTTTACTCATCAACGGATTTATGTTTATATCATTTATAATTGTTGCTAAGAAGATATAAGGTGATTAATCTAAACCTTAACTAGAAGACATGACATTTTATGGTAGAGGAAAGAATCATTTTGAGCCACAAAATTTTGTCATGGGCACCAAAGTTGATCTAATGAAGGTGGAATTGATTAAAAACATCAGTGAAAGGAATTCATCTTTTCCGAGGCCATGTTGGCTTCTATTGTAGAACTATCAAAGATTTCTCAAAAATTATCAAACCATAGAGCTTTAATTCAGCTAGAGACACTATAAATTTAATTAGAAGTGCCATCAAGACAACACTTTTATAAGTGCATACATTTTGAGTTTATGTATGATGCAAGGGACCATGTAATTTGTGATGTATTGGAATAGTTAATTGACATGGTCTTCATACTTTGTGTAACAAAATTATGTTTTCTCATAGGAGCCATTGGATGTGGTTATTACTTTTAGCAAGGGAATATATAATTCGTACAAAATAAAAATATACAAAAATTACGAAATAATTAAATATTATACAAAATATAATGATGACAAACTATGATTTTTACTACATGTGTTGTCATAATAAGAGTTTGACTTTGAGATCCTTGATAAAAAGGTTACATAAGTTTTATAGTAGATCACCTCTAAAGGTTAGAGCAATTTGAGATGGTCAACCATATAATAGAGCATATTGTGGATATATTCTCTAATGAATATCTATTATATGTTTTCTCAACATCGATGCTTGATTATTTTGTAGATAATGTCATAATTTAAAATTAAAAACATCAAGTATAATAATTTCCTCTCAAAGTCTGCAGATTATCTTAGTAAGAATATTTTTTGATGATGTATCCACCGCAGATCTCAAAAGATTTATATTTAAATGATTGGATCCATTTATAAAGAACAAAACATCACTCCAAAGGATAAAAATATTATCTTAAAATGGTTCTAATCACTCGGATGAGGAAATTCTTAAAAATTTATATGTCTAAAAACTCAAGGTTTTTCCCTACCTTATCAGTATAAGATAGGATTTATTTTATTTTCGGGTATGGTATCTAACCCGACCCACAATTACACGGATATTTATGTTCCTTAATATGCCAAAAACATGACCCAAATGATATTTAGTGGCTAGTGAGAATAAATATAATATGATAAAAATTAAAGAAATAGTTTTCTCACTAGGGGTACTGCACAAGTATACACATCGTTTCAAATAATATAGAGTTTTCCTTAAAAAATCTAGTATTGATCCCACGAGGAAGCTAAAAAAAAGTAAAAAATAAAATGAAATACAAGAATTTTGACTTTAAGAATGCTTAACTTAAGATTGCAGCAACTATTTAAAGATGAAAATTAAATTTACTAAATTCTACAATATGAGAATAAAAGTAAAGTAATGACTTAAACAATATATAAAAAGAGACTTTCTCCTTGCCATTAATTCATAATCAGTGTAGGATTTCAAAATTTTTTTAGAAACTTAAATGTGGTATTGTGACAAATAGAAGCATACATATTTCTTTACTTTCTTTCGAATTGCGCAAAGAACATTGGCTAATCTAAAATTAGTGTCGACATGTATAGTAGTGCTAGGTAGGTTCTAATCTCTCACTCCTAGATTACTCACTGTGCCCTCTCTATAGGACATACTAGTTACCCTTAGTTCCAATCTCTAGATCAAATTGATAAGAGAATCTAGCTTGTCACCCTAAAAACATCAATTCTACGCCCATCAAATCTTATATCCCAATCTATTTGCACCCCCTTTAGACGATCACGACTGCTCTTTCCAAGGTAGAATGTGATACTTACAAGTCAAGAAATCTTAGCCCTTTCGGGTCCATAAGTTCCTCAACAGGTTTTAATAATACAAGTGACCATTATGTAAAGTAAATGATGGACCGATAAAAATATCATCACAATTTTTAGGAATAAAAGAAGTTTAAAATAAAATCAAAATCACTCACTTAATTACTTCATTTTGCAAGGAGAAAGAAAGAAAACTACTGACAAAGCATGGGGATAACAAAACAAAACAAAACGTTTATATATAAACTCAAATCCAAAGTACAAAAAGACAAAAATACAAATACTTATCTGGAATGTTCCACCAAGCACTCTTTTGAAGTTATCTGACTTCTCTAACTCCAACAACACTTACATGACTCACAAACTCCAGAACCAGAAATAACAAAGACTCACATCACATAGAAAACTTCTCACACACTTAACACACTCACACATTATGAGACTCTATATTTCTGACCCCCTAACCTTTTGGAATTAATCCATATTTATAGAGCTTTAAAAATAACCAATGGTTGTTTTAGACATCTCTTTAAAATTTGACCTCATTTAATGAATCTTCTAGAAGATACTTGTGATGCCTAGGCGCCCAACTGTCGCACCTAAGCACCAACCAATTTATGCTTCTGGCTCCTAGGCGCCAGTTTGGTTGGTTTGGTACTTTTCCTCAATTTAGCTCTTTTTTGTTCTTTTTTGATGTGTTTTTGCTCATTTTTACTTTTAAACTATTTTTCTTGTGCCTGCAACCAAAAACATAAAAATACCCTTCATTAAAGCATATTGTCCTAAAAAATTGAGCATAAATATATATTAAAAATAAGGAATTTTAAAGTGGATTAATTCCCCAAAACTAAAATGTTACTTGTCCTCAAGTAACATTTTTTACTATATATAAAAAGTATAACATATGAAAGTGAGTTTAGTTGAAGATTTCTATAGTTTTTATTTTATAAATGCAATAGTGAAACTTTAAAAATATTTTTAAT